GCGTAACTGAGAAGACGTGGATAAACATTTCATGGAAAAATGCACGGTAAAAGATTTTCCCCAAGTCTGCATAGAACATCGCGCGAATAAGTGGCATGTATAGACACCACCTGTTACCTCGGAAGCGAAACCAGCGCGCGTTCCAATTAGGGGAATGAGCCTCCTCCTTTTATCGCCGTTCTCGTGCGCGCCGCGGAACGAAGCGGGGGAAACCGCGAATAAACATTCTCCCCCTTATATCTCATTTCACGGGGCACGATAAAGCGCCTCGACGCCGCCGAGGATGGCCTCTGCGAGCTCGCCCCTTTTGCAAAGGCGAAGCGCTTCCTCTTCTGCGGTTATCTGAGAAGAAAAAGAAGTCACCGCAACCATGGAGATCGTAAATTAAAATGCTGGAGTTGCCTATACAGTTGCCCTTTTCATTTCCTGCCTCTGTACTGCCTATTGATCTCGACCTATTTGCTTCAAAGAGAAAATTATTGAAAAAGACTTTCTCGATAAAGTTCGAAAATAAAACGCGGATCGATCGTTCCGTGAGAAAGACTAATGCAATTTCTTTAGGAATTACTGAAACGCGAAGAAAAGAATAAAATTGAGAACATCGATGTATTTAAAAATTACCACACTGACAAGGAGAAAAAAGTGCTTCGTATTTATGATTATAATTGTATATGAGAAAATAATTATAGTTAGAAGCTCCATTTTTATAATTATTACTATTATTGTGATATTAGTAATAATAATATTTATAGTTCTATATACCAAAAATAGATCTTCTAATCATAATTATTTTACCATGCAATTATAGTTATAAATACCGAACACGATTCTCTCAGTGCTTCTTCTTCTCACACACAAATTATAAAAATTATATGTAAGATTTCGTAATTTTATATAAGTCACATAATTTTTAAGAACTGAAGAAAATCCCAGATATATCAATTATATTGAAATTCTAAAAATGAGCTGTTTACTTCGTAGAGTTAATTCTCAATAAATATTCGCGACCATTTGCAAATTCAGTGAGAGATTGCGTTCCCCACGAATGTCTTGCATTGCTGCAGCTGCATATATGCAGGGGTGAATATATTATTTCGCGTAATGGTATGCATTATAAATACGCTGTGAGACAAAAAATTTTCTAGCGGAAAATATTTTTGGATATATCATTAAATTGTGAAGTTATTAAAAAAGCAATAACATAGAACTCGCAAATTAGATTTTTGCCAATTTCACTTCTCTTTGAAATATTTCGCGTATGTCAAGTATTAAAAAGACTCATATAACCGAAAAAAAAAAAAAATGATGTAGGTCCTCCGACTTTTATGTTTAATCGTTTGAACTCACTCTGGAACTCTTTATGGTAAAGCCGAAGCTCCATTAGCCACATTGGAATTCTAAAAATGGGCTGTTGACGTCATAGAGGAAAAATTGATTTTAGGGTATCTGCATGACGAGTACTTCCGTCAAAAGTGCACTTTACGAAAACTTCCGGCCAGCTGGTCGGTCGCCCCTTGAAATCGATCAACCACGAATGTTTTGTGACGATGACGCACGTGGAGACTAGTTTACGTGTCGTCTACCACGGGATCAAGTGAAACATGGAAGTTTGGGGTCGCGGGATAAGCAGAGCCATTTTTCATCGAACTCACTGCTCGAACTTGTGCCAAATGCTGATTCATTCAAGGATATAATTGGAACTAATCAAACATGTCACGTGTTTATTCTCAGAAATTTATTGTGAATTATGGCGATTAATTCTCCTGGAAGAGACATCTTTCTACGATGTATTTTCCTGTAGACATAACATATTGACAAGATCGAACACGAGTATTACTCCAAAGCGCGTTGGAAAGCGAACTTTCTATCGATACAGAGAATATACGGTGTACACCGAATTATGCTTTCATGGTTGTGGCTCTTGATTAATTGAGGATTATTTTCTCCTGCTCATCATTTCGCGCAATAACTACGAAAGCAGGATGTACAAAGTGTCCTAGATAATTCTTTCCTGCTTTCTTTCGACCGGTTTCTTCTCATTTATCTTAAGCCGGAAAATTTAATGAAGGATTTAATTATATGTGGACAATATCTAAGATAGATATTATCGACAGATTGTGTAATGAGTTATGTATTATGAAGAATCATGTATTTATACGTGGAAGATTTTTATAAAAGAAACCTTATTTGTAGAAAATAAACATTAACTATTAATTTATGAGCAGTAAATAAACTTTCTGTCCTAACAACAAGAGTTTCGTGAAAATAATCATATTCATGATTTTAGAAGCTAATTTCTCAATTATACGAATACTTTTTGTTGGTTCAAATAATACAATTTTTCGCTTTTGCTTATTTTATTATTAAGAAAATATATATTTTAATTATTACACATTTTTTTAAGTAAAATAATTTTGAGAAATATACAATCTATTATATTCTTTATTAATAAATTGCTATAATTAATGTTTATTTTTTAAAAATAAGGGTTTTTTTTTTAAAAAGACATCTTTCTTGAGAATACTTTTTGCACTTAAGTACTGTATTACAAATCGCATTATTGTTGTAGCGAGTGTTTTTGTGTTTTTGGTTGTAGTACGAAGAAATGTAAGAATCCTAGAAAACGCTTTATGAATATCTGGTACCTCGGTTTCTTGATCCGTAAAGATATGCTATTTTTAAACAGATTTCATTTGGAGGTTGCGCATCAGGTATTGATTGTCGGAAATTATAATTCATTGAAATCGCGCATCGCGACTGAACAGCCGAGTCTAAAGCAAGCCGAGCTGAATCCTGGACAATCTCCAACATTCTGTTTCTATTCGCTACACGAAAGGGACGACGTTACCCGAAATATTAAAGTAGGCCAGAAGGCACGGATTATCGAATTGCACGACCGCGACGTTTGCTAGTGCAATCAGTTTTACACATCTTTTGCCAGTCGTCCCAAGTATCGAGAAACGTAATAATACTGACGACTTCTAGGAAGTCGTAAATTAAAGAAGAAAATATATTGAGTAAATCGTAACAGCGCGAAAAATTAATTATTGCTTTGTGTCGCAATGCAAATAGAGACAGACATTTTTGTATTTATATTTTGTATATGTATTTATATCCTATACAAAAATAAAAAATGGCTATGTCTATATAATTCTCACTGTGTTGATGTTAATATTAATACCAATATGATGTGGATTTAACACCATGATAGTGTTGATACAAACATTAAACACCAGAGATTTGAAATCCACACCATGTTGGTGATAATATTAATACCAATTAACACAATGAGAATTATATAGACACTGCATAGGAGTTAATTTACTTTAGAGGTGTTAAATCCACATCGATATTTTTTAGCTAAAAAGGTGACTTTATTCGGTCAATAATACTGTCAATATTAACGAATATTGACAGTATTACTGATCGTGTATGGTTAATATTGATGGATTGACGTAAAACACTGACGGTGATCTGGATTTTCATTCTCGAGCATCAGTATCGCTTTATTAAGATCCATGTCACAGTATGTATATGCAATTGATAATATACATAAAACTAAAGTGAAATATGTTATCAATAATACTGATCATGTAAGGTGAAAATACTAAAAATAATGGTGCATACTGTCAGTATTACTAATTCAATATTATTAATCAGTATTATTGATCGAGTTATTATTGTGTAGAGTCACTTTAAGAAACTCTGATATTCCTCCGATATTGTATTAGTAAATAATTTTTGCATTTTGATAATAGTACGCAGAAAGACATATTTATTACATCAAATTACATCGTTTAAATGCATTAATTAAATATTATTGCACGGAATAAAGAAATATTATTTTATACGAGTATGACAAGAAAACGTGTTGAAATCGTATTGCGAAATGGATGAGCTGCTTCACTGCATTCGTGCGGTAGTTACCGAGGCACGTTGTGATTGAAATGGTATTACGTTCGGCGAACGTGAGGTAAAATTATCGGGCCATCATTACGACACGTTCGCTGCCAGGTGCGCCATAAACGATACACATGCTTTACTTTACGTGGACCACGTGCATCATTTACGAACTGGAGAAACAGATATATATTCGAATGCGCGTATTCGGAGTACATCCCGTTTCGCCGTCACTGCTCTACTGCCACTTGCGCGCAGAAATTATTAACGAACCTGAGCTTTATACGAACTTGATCGATTCTCACGAATGAATATGTCTCGACTTGTATACAGTTACGATGGTACGTCGGGCTAGGATAATTGAGTTATACGACAACAAATTTTCTGTGATTCTATATTCTAAATATTCCGAATATTGTATTCTACACAACAAAAATTTATGCTAAAATAATTTTGTTAAAGTATATCTAAAAATTTAGGTGGATATAAATTTGAAAATAATTTTTTTGGGCTATCAAAATAATTATATAGAAAACTCAAGTACGATAAGCAGCACTGCAAAAAGTTTTAACATTAACAATCAACTCGAGCGTCCTACGTAATTATTTTGATAGTGCAACAAAATTATTTTCAGATCTGTATCTAGCTAAATTTTTAGATATTTCAGTAAAATTGTTCTTTCTATAGATATTCCATATTTTGTAACAAATATTCTAATTTTTCTTTCAAATGAATAGTTTTTCAATAAACGATATTTCCATTTGAATATTTTCCAAATTATCTATCGCTCCAAAAATTCACACGAAAAGTACAATTTCAATAAAATAATATTTAAAAATTTAGGTGAATACAAATCTGAAATAATTTTGGACCATCATAATAATTATTTAGGAACTAAAGTGTAGTGAACAATTCTGCAAAAAGTTATAACAACTAGTTTGAGCGTTCTGCATAATTACTTTGATGATTCAACAGAATTATTTTCAGTTCTGTATCTATCTAAATGTTTAGAACTTTAATAAAATCGTTCTTTCTGTGTATTATAAACTTATCATTCAAAATAATTCAGTGTATTAATGAGCTCATTCTGCATGTTGCAGGTGATAGATTTCGGTTCCAGTTGCTACGAGAATCAACGGGTATACACTTACATTCAGAGTCGCTTCTA